CATTTGGCGGGACTGTTTCCTGTAGCCTATGGTGCCGTGAGTGCAGAACTAGTGATGAATGTGGCAACACTCTCTCTTGCCCCATTTACTCCCTTTGTGCTAGCCGAATTGCCACGTGTCTGATGCCAAGTTCGTGTCGCATAGTGCTTGTCATTTCAAGAGAGCTGTTCTCGTTTCGATCATACGAATAACTGTGCGGTGAGTATAATAGCGGAGGAGTATGCGCTTTTGAAAGGTGCTGGGGACTGATATGGTATAAGTGCCGCGCGACCGTCTATTCCAAAAAATCTATGCTAAGGTGAACGTGTACCTTAGAAATCTGTGAGGACAAAACTCACCAGCAGTTATAGAGCTTGCAGTCTATAGTAAATGGTTTACGGACAGGTACTGTTGCAGGCAAATTTTCCACCGATAGACGAACATCACCATGCGCAGGGGCCTGAAATGAATAATGAAAATTCCTGAATTTTGCCACGCTAAACCCTCAGCCAAAAGAATAATGTGAAACATTCCTTAACTCACAATTCTCTGCAAAGGACTAGTCTGAAGACGGCCTCGCTCACCCATACTCGTTCGCCACGACATATCCAGCTTGCCTATGTTGGTCATGTCCTTATATCTGGAAAGTAGAAAGAATATCATTAATTCAAGTCTTTTCTTGATCAATGAAAACTGTGAGAACCCACACACTACTGGGAGCATCCTTGGGAGTAAGACAGAAGAGAAATTGGCGTATATCACGAGGTTTTAGGTACATCCCAGAAAGTTCTTCTGCATCACTAAAAAAATATAGCAATTACAACCACTTATAATACTTTTATTATCCATAGCAAGTCCGTGGCTGCACAAGAAGAACTGCGGGTTTTGAAAGAATTGCTACAAAAAGCCCTTTTCTAACAACTTACCCGCAGTGAATACTAGTAACCGTATAATTAGGACTTGGTTCCAACTCTACACGCTCGAGAATCATCGCAGTAGCGGCGGTGTTTTCGATTTGAGCTTCGAGATAAACATCGTTATTCTGCAAAATACGAAATGATAAGATTACTTCAGAAAACCTTGAATTCTCTAAACAATCCATGCATTTGCACAAAACATAAAGCAAATTGAATAGGTAACGTACCGATGTTATGCCTGACCAATCACAGCAAATCACACCATCAACACACCCATCAATTCATCCGGCATGCATGGAAAGACAACAATCAGATCAAGGGAACACCACAGCACAGCAAACATAAGGCTAACTAACACAATCACCAATGAGCAGAAGGTAAATAACCGAATACGTGGAACAAAAGAAAGCGGAAAAGAGAGCATGATACGATTTTCATACCCCCATTTGTCATAATCACAATAGAAAAAGAATCAGTCGTGGTAGCCACGAAAACTTTGGAGATTGTAGTCTTACGGCCTCAGGTACTCATGTTGCTCCTAAACCCTTTGACTACAGCGCCAAACTAAGAGATCAACCCAATGATGATGAATTAAGATAAAAAAAAAAATAACGAAACGTACTATGCAACGTTAGACAGCCGCTCAAGAAAAGCACTTCTAGTTCAGTAACGTGGCGGCGCCTCCACTGCCTACCCCACTCTACCCTAATGAAAAATTCGCTGCAGCTCACAAGCTCTCGCATCTTCGAAAGAAGAGAATCGAAGAACTGTTTCTCCATCTAGCGGTTACGCAGTAGATCCCCGTGACGCGCTTACGAAGGCGGCGAGTGCGGTGGTGCTGTACCGCCCTTCTCTTGCATGCAATCAGCACTTTATATTTATCACTTTATTAGCAATGCCGCACCGCAACCACACGTGCGTTCGAAAAGTTCTTGTTCAATTGCTGACGACTAATCTACGATAGAGCACTTGCGCTTCGAGAGAGAAAAAAATAAGGCGTCATGATATAGTAAGTAACTCTCACCTCAGCGTTGTAGAATTTGGTCTTCACATCTATTGGCTTACTAACGGGGAACTTGATAAATTTCCGGAAGTACATCTTTTCATCGGAAGACGTCTTATAGTTCACCGAGCAGATAAGTCTGAATCAGTTGTTGTCATGGAAACAAGATTGTAGGAATCCGTAGAAAAAAAAAAGAACTGCTTCAGTTTCGTAAGCCGTGAGCCAGCGTTCATAGATAGCCATTGGGAGATCGTGGAACGTGGGACTTGGGCGGAATCCACGTATTCCACCCATGTAGCACATTTCACGATCCCTAATCAATATCTATCTTTTACTGGAACCTTATCTCGCTAACCGGCCCTCGAACACTACAGCAGCTATGAACGCTACCTAAAATATGGCCTCAGGCACCAGATGGACGAATGTTACAACGAAAAGTTTTGACAGTCTCGTGATACAATGAAGCTATTGCACATAAGAAAGGAGCAAATGACTCACATATTTTCATTTCCTTGACTGACTTCGTGGCTGATAATTTGGCCCGAGCATTTTCCTCCTTCCAAAACAACTTCGTGGATGTTCGAGTTTAAACTCACTCTTTGACTATTCGTTTGCAGATCGCACTAGAATAAAATATGATTTGACATACGAATACGAAAAATGTGTATTGCTATTGTTTCATAGCAATGGTCGGTATATTTCCGTTTCAGGTAGACACAGAAAAAAAAGCTGAACCACTGGAGATATTAGCATGGCTAGCCAAGTATGCGATTTACACAGTACAGGAAGTCATGAGAAAGCTGCAGTACCGGATAGAACTTCAACATAAAGCCACTTTGTGCACAACTGCAAAGGTCAAAGAAGAGAAAATTATCTAAGAACGATAGAGCTTAAACCTCTACTCTAGGAAAAGATAGGGGTCCCGAAAATAAACCAGTAACGCTAGCGGTATTAGTACAGCTGGCCAATATTTCAAACCAGCATACCTTGACGGTCACATCTGTAACTTTCTGGTCGCTCTCATTAGTGCAGTTGACATAGAAGGTGAACGTTTCACCGAGATATATATTCCTGCAAGCAGCTGATAAGATGAAGGAGGCTGGATAGCACACAGCAATAACGCTACGAACCATGTGTAAGGATAAATGATAAAGTAATCCGCTCAGATCTGATTATTTTCCTTTGGAATGCGCCATGCATTCGTTTCACAGCTGCCACAGACAACACACAACCCCGGGATCCGCCCCTCGAAACATGCGCGCGAATAGCCAAATCAGCCGCTATCCCATCGTCTACACCTTATCTCAGAGACTCCATAACACAGCTTTCATTATCTGCTCGAAAGAATATAAAAGGAAATAGAGAAAAAAAACCTACTCAAACATCTGTGGAGCAATGAAATAGTCTCCAATGACATCTTGCTTCTTGTCACTATCGTTCTTATTTAGAGCTGATTCGAGAAGTTGGGAAAAACCAGCCGCATCGAGCGGATCCACAGCGAATGGAGCCGCTTCTGAGAATTTCGGCCGGGCAAGACCGCTTACCTGTAATCTCCGATTTAATTGTAAAACTCAAAATCAAGCCAAGTTACGGTATGGAGTCGCAATACGTTGCAGACACGTGCCAAAATATCTAAACCGCAGGGAAAAATAGCAATGTTTAGGACACCACTTCCTTCTACCCTTGGCGCTCACGTAAACGTTCATTAGGACGCTACGCACTAAAGGTGTTTATCGGTTCGTTATGTTCATATTATCGTTATTAAACTATGTTCGACGTTCTTTCAACCATTTCTCTTCTTACGTAATACGCTCCTAGATGCAGTTTACTAAACCATGGCGTAATGGAGTATATCAGTCGATGTTCTGCATGGCTATGGTCGAAAAAACCGACAGAAGCGTCCCACCATATTTAAATCAAAGTCTTTTATTAATACCAACCGGTAAGTTGGGTGGCCTGTTTGCTTATGTTTCAGTAATCATCCTGTCCTTGTGCGAAATGAAAGATGAGTCAGCTAATGGAATAAGACCATCGCTAATAAAACTGGGAAGCTTGCAAGTCTTGCGGTAGCAGTGCGTGGGCGGTATTCAATCCTTCCCCCAGGGGGATATATCCCCCTCCTCTGATTCAATCCTCTGGGGGACAAAAAAGGGTTGCGTCATAGGACCTAGCATACCTCTGTGTTTCTACCTGCCAGACAGTTAGAGCAGCGCTACTACCCTCCACTGATGAAGCACTCTTTTTCCCTGAGGGGTCGCGCTGCTCTAACTGTCTGGCAGGTAGAAACACAGAGGTATGCTAGGTCCTATGACGCAACCCTTTTTTGTCCCCCCAGAGGATTGAATCAGAGTAGGGGGATATATCCCCCTGGGGGAAGGATTGAATACCGCCCTGTGCAGATCGCAAGAAAGCCCCCCACTGCTACATGAACCCTCAGCGACTACAATTCTCGCCGATCCATAACAGCACCACAGAGCAGAGGGCAGCAGTGGGAGAAAGCACCAGGCGCCAACAAATAAACAAATTCCGAGTCAATGTTGAAGTATGACTGCAGCGTGATGTCATGATTGCGATAACACACTCCAACTGCTGTATGAACACTCATACAGCAGTTGGAGTGTGTTATCAGCTAAGTATCAGAGGACCCGGAGGGAGAAGTTGGAATGGGAGCGAAACAAAGCGCCATAAAGCCCTAGCTACAAATACGTGTTGGATTTCGTTATAACCATCGTGAATTGTCAAAGACCTTTCTATTAGAAGAGATGCCGTTTTCTGGCCATAATAATCGCATCCTATGCAGGTCTTCATCTGCACAGCGAAAGGCGTGAAGCAGGGAAGGTGAGATCCAGGCGGCTGCCAGCGAGCTACCTGCACAAGTAGCTGACAATGAAGAGCAGAGATGCTACTTTTCCCTTTGAGTGACGGGCCCGGAAGGTGTGCGTTACCATAGAGGGCGAATATTTGGAACATAGACTATTTTTTTTTATTTTTTGATTCTTAAACCTGACTTCGGTAAGATTAGGCAGGACAGACAATGATAGAAGCAGTTCTAGCCGTGGATTGAACTGAATATGAAACGGCTTAACGAGTTGATGAAAAGACCGTCCAGTGAAACTGATCTATCCTTTCCTAATCTTCGCACAGATCCCAAGCCAAACGCGTTGAAAAATTGCATATCATCCATCACATTGTTGCGAATGCATGTTAAGGTCATCTGAGAGAATCTCGAAGAACTGACCTTTCAGAGAAAGAAGTTGACTAGATGTTTGAAGAGCCTCATTCATATCTATAAAAACACTGAAAAAAAAGAAAAGTTTTGACAGGATTTTGGCATTCAACAGCCTGACTAGGTACAATGTGGCCGCACACCAACGAACAAACCCTCGTTGTTTTTTAACTGCCAACTTTATTTTGGAAATGACATCATTAAAGAGAACTGCGACCGGCACCTAACAAGTATGGGATCAGCTCAGCTAACTGTGACACTACGGATGACATAAAGCTCCCACTAATGTTTGAAATTAACAAATGCGCAACAACGCGACATGAAGCTAACAATTTATTAGCCAATTTTGAAATTTTATAAAATCTGTATACAAAACAAGAACCAACGAAAAAACAACGCTGAACATACATGGGAGAAGGGTCCAACAGTTACAACAGGATGGAAAATCATTGTAGAGATACGGAAAAGAAGACGCCTCCCAGAACATATGAGCGCGAATGATTGAAATTAACGACGGCTGCAGAGTTTTACTTTCCTTGTTTCTCAACGGGGAGTCCAAAGCGCTCAGCTACACGGCGCAGTTTCATGCAGCTCATGCTATTTAGTTTTCGGATGGGCTACTGAGAATCTTCTTGGATTCGAGTCTTTATGATTGCCCACAGTCGAAATTGTATTTTTTCAGTCAATTTCGGGTATTCGAATAGTAGACTCGTTCCTGAAGAAGACATATGATCACGATGACATCGCGCAAGTGTTCGTGATGTAGGATTGTCTGAATATGAATGTTTGTTTCATTTATTTACTTAAATTACAAAGTTGTGTTTTCCTCGTTCTTTCTTTATTGACCCTATGAGTTGTCATTGCTTTTGTGGTTCTTACGAGAACGGTAGCTTATTATCATAATGTCGAGGAGTTACTCAAGGCGGTAACAGTAAAAACGCAAGAGCAAGCGGTGGCACCACTCTCATGTAGGGAAGTTGTCACTTACCCGACTGGAGGGAAGGTGAATATGGTGTGAGTATGTTTTGCTAGGTGAAGGTTGGCTGTGTTACCCTTGAGTGCCCTACGCTTCGAAGTCTAAGTTTGTTTTCTCTTGAAATTTGTCTTCGGAAGCAAATCTAAGAGTCCCCTTCATGGGTAAATTGACAGAATGCGAATATCATATTTGGCGTGAAAACACCGCCCGCGCCAAAAGAGTTTGATCTCGCTGCGCCTGTTTAGGCTGCTTTCATACTTTGCGCCAGTGCGGTCCGTGTGGACGGTGCGGAGAGAGTATGGAAAGGATGTATCTAAATTGTGATTATCGATCGGAAGATAGTGATTGCACGCCAATGCGCGTATTGACGCTCTTCACTCTATCCGCACCGTTCGCACCGTCCGCACGGACCGCACCGCGTAAAGTATGAAAGCAGCCTTAGCGAGCGCTGGCTTTTTTACGTTAAGCGGATGTGATTTTCGTGCTCATCGGGTCGAACAGGTACATCTTTTCCGCTTGAGTTCTTTAAGATGAACTTTTATGATTCAGTGGCAGCTAAAAGAATTAGAAGTAGGTATTTTTCGAAAAAAATTGTTGTTATGAAAAAGAGGAGGTACCGAGCAAGTGACTGTCCCCGCGTAGTTGG